AGCGGACGAACGGTTGTTTTAGAGGTGGAGAATGTGATGACTCACAGGGTCATCTTCTGTTTAGAACTCAAATCCGTATTTTGAAACCTCATTTTATCTCTCCTCAATTTGCGTGCGCAGTCCGAGCATGATTCTGTAGAGCCTTTATTTGGAAAATTTATGAAAAAATAATTTTTGGCCTAAAAAGAGGATTTTTGTTGACGTCGGTCAATATTTTGGGTAAACGAACCCGGACCCATAATTTGATGGTCCCGATAGGTTCGTAGTAAAATATGGGATCTGGGCGTATACCCGGAATCGAATTCCGAGGTCCCAGGCCCGATAAATGAATTTTTGATGAAAATTATAAGACTGAAAATCTAAGGAATTAAAGAAATTGATTAATGTTTGATTTCGTGGGTATCAGGCTCATATTTTGGTTTCAGAGCCCGGTACAGATTTAATAAAATATTTAAGACATGTCTGTGAAATTTGGTGAAAAACAGAGTTTATTTGACGTGATTCAGACCTTGGGTTGAGGAAATAGAAGTTTTGAAACTATCTTGAAAATTTCATATATTTTTGTGATTAAATCCTTAGTTTTTGAGGTTAACTTGGTGATTTGATCACGCGATCAAGTTCGTATGATGTTTTAATACTTGTGTGCGTGTTTTGTTTGGAGCGACCTATGGCTCGGGTGAGTTTCGGATAGGCTACGAGGTGTCTAGACTTACAAAAAAGGACCTAGTGTTGGATAGTTGTAGAAATTGCAGGTCTCAGCCCTTGGGAGTGTGGTAGTGGTGGAAACTTCGTGGACGCGGTAGGGTAAGGCTCAGGTTTCGCGGCCGCACCCATAATTTTGCGGACCGCGGTGGTGGTTCGCGGCCGCGCCCGAAATTTAGCGGACCGTGTAGTGAGGATCAGGGGGTGCTATATAAATGGGACTTTTCATTCATTTTTCACTTTTTCAAAACCCTAAAGCATAAGAGGCTATTTTCTAAACACTTTTTCTTCCCCAAATCATAAGTAAGTGATTCTTAACTCATTTCTTTCAATCTTTTACTTCTTTTCACAAGATTTAATCCTAGAATCTAGGGTTTTTCATGGTGGAATTGGGGATTTTTGGGTAGAACTTAGGAATTTTGAAATTTGGGGATTTATGCCTCAAATTGAGGTCGGATTACAAAATAAATTGTATATTCGGGCTGGGGGTGAATGGGTAATCGAGTTTTGGTCTGAATTTCGGGTTTTGACTAAGCGGGCCCGGGGTCGATTTTTGACCTTTTGGGGAAAATATTGGGAAACCTATAATTATGCATTGGAATTGATTTCTTTAGCGATAATTGATGTTATTAAGTTAATTATGACTTGACAGAGTGGATTGGAGGTGGAATCGAGGGGTAAAGCAGTAATTGAACTTTGAATTGGCCGTTGGATTGAGGTATGTGTTTCGTCTAACCTTGACTTGAGGGATTAGGGGTCCCCAACTTGATTGCTATGTGAAAATTCATGTGCGTGGTGTATAGGTGTTGTGACGAGTACCTATGTGCCCAAATTTTTTTTGTTTAGCCTGTTCTCTTCCCCGTTCCCAATATATTATCTTCCTGTCTTAACTGTTTCATGCTTATTGATGCTTCCATGTATAATTGTTGCCTGTTAGATGTTGTTTTATTTATTTATGGTATTAGTTATTCCGTAGTTTCATTGTGTCACATTATTGGTTTAAACTGGTTTACTGGTGTTTCATACTATATTTCGGTTGGTCTCGCTGTGTAGTAATAACGGAGTGAGGTTTCATAATTGTATAGTCTTCTATTTGACTTGGTTTGAGATTTAAATATTGTGGAGGATTTTTGAGCTAAATTGTGAAATTTCTATTCTTATTGTATGATTGGTACTAATATGGTGGGATAGGGTTGCACGCCGCAATAAGAGGAATAATGGTGAAATGTGATTGTCTGGTGGGATCGGGTTGCGGCCCGCAACAAGGAGTAACAAGGGCGAACATGTGGGATCGGGTTGCACGCCGCAACAGGAGGAATAAGGGTGATATATTGAGGAGTAATAAGGGTGGACTGGTGGGATCAGGTTGCACACCATAATAGGAGAAATAAGGGTGAATGTTCATATTGTTACTGATTATATGGTGGGATCGGAATGCACACTGCATCATTTTATTGTTTATGTATTCTTCTTCTGCTGTTATTTTATACTGTAGCATTGTAACTCTCTTATGGATTGGTTATTGCTGAGTACTGGCAGGATAACTGGGTTCTGTATTTATTTACTGCAAATTACTATTCCTTTTCGTTCGGTACTTCCTTTTTGCTTTATTATAAACTGTATGCAGGTTATATTATAAATGCCCCGCCTTAGCCTCGTCACTACTCCGTCGAGGTTAGGATCGACACTTACCAGTACATGGGGTCGGTTGTACTGATACTGCACTCTGCACTTTCTGTGCAAATTGTGGAGCAGGTTGTGGCTGATCGAGAGGCTGATTGCAAGCATTCGTTTAGGAGACCCAAGGTAGTCCTACAGGCATCTGCAGACTCTGACGTCCCTTCCTATGTCCTACATTTCTGTTTTATTTCTTTCGAGATAGATGTACTTTTCTTTCAGATCAATACTTATAGATATTCATAGAATGTTCGTGGGTTGTGACACCAGTTTCTGGGTGGTAACTATTTCGATTTTGTTAATAATATAAGGATAATTGGTTAATTATGTATTTCTGCTTTTATTTACGTTGATTTAGTTTTGTTAAATTTTAATTATAAAAAGTAATAGAAAAAGATAAATAGAACTCTAACGTTGGCTTGCCTAGCGAGTGCAATTTTAGGTGCCATCACGGTCCCGACGGTGCGAAATTTTGTTTGTGACAAGTGGTAGAATAGTACCCTACCACGGTACAGACCTGGGTTCGATTCCTGGCCTGTGCATGAAGAGCCGAGAAGATTTCTGGCGCTCCGTGCGGTGATAAGGGTGTCTCTGCAGTTGTCGGATTCTATGATGATACTAACAGCGCCTCTGAGCTCTTTCTAACCTTTTGAAGGGGAGCCTTGGCGTCTATGGTAAAGTTGCTGCCATGTGACCAGGAGATTACGAGTTTGAGCCGTGGAAATAGCCCTTGCAGAAATGCAGGGTAAGACTGCGTACAATAGACCCTTGTGATCCGACCCTTTTTAGCTTAGTGCACTAGGCTGTCTTTTTAATATGAGTTATTTGGAACAAACTTTGAAATTTAAGTACAATACAATTATACAAAAGTCTCAAAGCTGAGGTCATGAGTAACAATAGTTTAAAGGATGAATTCTCTAATGTGAATTGTGTAAATAATATAAACGAGTAATGTTTAGATTTTTTATTCAAAAATGTAGCTTGAGTGAAACTAAGAATCCTATTCCTCCAAAGCCACCAGACATAGCTAGTCCATCAAACTCCTTGAATCCCTTATCAAGCTTCAAATAAAAACTCCTTATAGATGGCGTGTAAAATGTGTGATTTACAGAAGACACAGATATGCATATTTGTAATGAAAACTGGATCGCCACAATTTGAACCCAATCTGACCACCAGTTGCCCACCACCCTCCTTGAACCCACAGAAATCTTTACAACTCTCTGATGAAGATAAACAGCTCATGTACCTGCCATGGAGATTCTCACTAATTATAAAACTACTAGGGAAAAGAATCCCCCACCAATATTTGAAGGCGAAAATTCAACAACTATGGAAATTTACAGAACAATTCCCTCTAATTGACCTTGGCTCAGACTATTTCATTGTCAAATTTGTAAAGGAAGATAACATGATCAAGGTGCTGCAATAGGGACCCTGGTTCATCAATAGTAATTTTTTAACAGTACAAAAATTGAAACCCAACTTTGTTGTCAGCCAAGCTAAACAAACTTTATCTGTTGTCTGGCTAAGAGTACCAAAATTACCAACAGAATTCTACTACGGAATGATTCTTAAAATGATTGGTAATTTGATTGGAAGACTCCTAAAGATCGATGCTTGCACTAGTTCTACTCTTAGAGGAAGATACGCAAGGCTCTGTGTTGAAGTCCCATTAGAACACCCCATTAAATCCCATATATACATCGGTTCCCACAAGCAGCCTATCGTTTATGAAAGTGAATACCTTTTGTGTAGAAGATGCGGCAGAATTGGTCGCACCCAACAACAATGCTCAATTCTTAGAGAAGGATAAATAAATCCCCACTGATCACATAGAAGATTTACTCTTCATCCACATATCTAAGCATCAGGGACTCTAAAGATGAATGGTTTACCGTGTCTTCCCAAAGAAAAAGAAGGGCCCTTCGTGCAGGCATAACAGTAACAAAGAGTGAACAAGGATCGATCTAACACACCTACTTAGGGGTGGGCATCAGTCGGGTCTGTTCGGTTCGGTTTTGAATATTATCGGTTTTGCCTATCGGTTATCAGTTTACAAATATCATAACCCGATAACCAAACTGATAAGATATTGGTTATTGGGTATCGGTTAATCGGTTATTGATCATTACCGGTTCGGTTATCAGTTTACCCGATAAGGTAAAACTAAAATTAATAGTGTTGATTGCTGAACGTTTGTACAAAGTTTACTGGAAGCTGCTATATATTGTGGCAGAAGCCACAGAACGCCAGAACTACAAGCATTTGATGAATTTAAATTTCAGTTTAAACTGCACATAAACTGCACCCAAAGCTGCACATAAAACCAACATTTCTCACAATAATTTCAGTTTAAAGTTAAACTTCTCACTGAATAATTTTAGCACACAAAGCTGTACATTTTTTGCCTCAAACTAAACATACCCAGTACGACAGTACCTCAATTGCATGTGCATACAAAATACAAACAACTCAAAATTCCAATCTAACAAAAATAGGAGATAAAAAGATCCCAACTTTCACAACCCAAAAATAGATGTATACACAGTAATGTCCAAACTCCAAAGTAATAGTTCAAACACATTAATAACAATGCAAAGTAGTAGCAACCTTAGGATTAACAAGTCCAAAGTCCAAACATAATACATAAAACAAGATGACAATAACTACATCTTACTTTCCACCATCCATCATCACCTTCTTCAATCCTTTCATAGTGACTCCAAACATGTGAGATAGCTTTGAGACCACAAAGTCGAGGCATGGTTACACCTATTAAACATAACAAGAAAATATATTAAGCAAGTAATATTTGTAATCATACTATGTATTATATAAGTTGAATAATTAACTTACCAAAATTTTAACTTACAACTATCTAAGATTCTACATATCATCATCGCAGGGTTCGTTTCCAAGATTGGCAAAATCTATGATAATATATATTAACAAGTCAAACAACCAAAATATTAAATAAACTATTTATAAAAATAATATACAATCAAACAAATTAAAATATTGCTACCTTGTTCTAGTTGCTCGAGAACATCTAAATCTTCCTCAACACTTACAGGTAATGGCTCACTTCGAAGCCAATCTTGAAGGCACAGGAGAACTTCCACCAATTTAGGAGTCAATGAACTCCTAAATGAATCAAGAATACGCCCTCCAGTGCTAAATGCACATTCAGATGCAACACTTGAAATAGGAATAGATAATACATCCCGAGCCATCTCAGCAAGAATGGGGAATCTAGGTGAGTTTACTTTCCACCAAAGCAATATATTACC